GGTACCGTTACACGGTATGGGGGTACCGTGTAGGCGGTATACCCTACCGTTTGGGGTACCGCTAGGGGTACCGTGCCACTGTCCTGCTTTTTCCAAAATTCCCGTAATCCTTCGCGTTTGAGTTTAAAACCTTTTGGATATTTTGAAAATGTTTATGGGATGGTTTTAAACATATTTTGTGAGTGCTTTTGAGCTTGTGAATATAGGTATATAAAGTCATATCCTTACATTGGTTTCCACCTATATTCTACGCTAGTTTAGTGTTTCGACTTCATACTTGAGTACCGAATCTTAATGGATTCTTGTTGTACCTGAAACACTTAAACAAACGTCAAACTCTTATATTGTTTGTTAACATCAAAACATGAGATTTAGCAAACCAAGGCTAACAATTTGTTTTAAATAAAAGACGCCTGAAATGTCATTCAAATAAGAAATACCATCAAATCAATATAAAGTAAAAATATTATTTAACTTTATATTTGATTACTAAAATAGATTATTTTTAGCTACATATATATTAATAATAAATTATAATTATTATTATACAAACATAAAGTGAATTAATATAATATAGTGCAAAATTAACTTTGTAATAAATGTGATATGAAATTGGCTACAAGTAGTGATAACTTCGTAATAAGTGTTCTCATTTAATGTGAGTAATGATGAAGATATGCAAAGAGATTAGAAAATCTAAGTGAGTGCAGCCCAAGGAATGAGTGGTGTGCACAATTTAGTGTGTGGCACAAGGTGCAATAAATGTGGTAATTATCACATCCTATTTAAAATATTAAATTAAAGGTCAGGCAATGTGATGCACGGGATATCATAAAACTCAACTAATACTTTAGTCTTTAATTTTATAAACACACTTCTCTAAAAATTAAATTAAATGATGATTAATGGGAATTTTACAATTAAATTAATCAATTTAAATATCCTAATATATACGAAATCAATATACCGTGTAAAGAACCAAAATTATACTTTAATCAAAATATTAATACATTCCAAAATGCTTCCATGTTCCAATTAAAAAAACTATTTATAAAATAAAAAATGTCTTTTTTACTTAAAAAAATATATAAAAAGTATTTTTATAGTGTGTAAAGAAGATATTGTGGGTGTGTACATTTATACGGAGAGTGTGCTTCGTAGAGAGTGTTATCATTTAATGTGAGGGTACATCTATTCTTACTAAGCATTTTTGACAGCTTCATTAATGATGAAGATATTTAAAGAAACTAGGAAATCTAAGTGTGTTGCCCAAGGAGAATTATTGTGTTGCTCAAGGTGCAATAAATGTTGTACTTATCACACCTAATTGAAAATAAAAAATAAAGACTGTCATTTCACATGGGTGCCGTGTAAAAACTCATAAGTTAGCCAAATCCCTTCTTTTAAATCACATTTATTACCCAAACATATATCACTAAAAAGTCAGTTTATAAAACCCACTTAGAGCCACACGCATCTAATTATAGCCTTTACATTTATAAACACAATTTTCATAAAACTAAATTATATTTAAAATAATAAAAAATATTTCTTAAAATATTCTTAAAATAATAAATTTTATTAAATAAAATTTAATTACATCTAAAAGTTCTTAAAACTTACGAATTGTGAGGTTCAATGAGATTGTATTTCGTAGATATTCAATGTTTAAAATAATAAAAAATCTTTAACAGTTACAGTGTAATGAATATTAATTTTTTTTTTACTTTAATCAAGAAATTTATATATTTCAAGATGCGTGTATATTCCAATGAAAGAAATTCCTTTTTGTTTAAAAACAAAAGTTTCTATAAAAAAACATAATTCTTTAAAGGTTTGTGTATATAGAAGACATTGTGTGTTAAAGAATTTATATCTGATAAAAACTTCGGAATTCATATTTAAAAAAATATGAGTGACCCAATCCATGTACAGTGTATTGAAAAAAAATTATACTTTAATCAAAATATTAATACATTCCAAAATGCGTGCATGTTCCAATTAAAAAAACTAATTATAAAATAAAAAATGATTTTTTTACTTTAAAAAATTATATAAAAAGTATTTTTATAGTGTGTAAATAAGATATTGTGGGTGTGTACATTTATACAGAGTATGTGATAACAACTTCGAAATTACTCCGTAATACTTATCTAATAAAATCGCTACATTTTTACACAACTTCGAAATTACTCTGTAATACTTATCTGATAAAATCGCTTACAAAGAGGGTCGCCTATAAAATCGTAAAGAGTGTTATCGTTTAATGTGAGGGTACAGCTTCATTAATGATCATGATATTTAAAGAAACTAGGAAATCTAATTGTGTGGCCCAAGGAGAATATGTCGTCCAAACTCCCTTATTGTGCTACCCAAGGTGCAATAAATGTTGTACTTATCACCCCTAATTGAAAATAAAAAAATAAAGACTAGCATTTGAGATGATTGCCGTGTAAAAACTCAATAATTAACCAAAGCCCTTCTTTTAAATGACATTTATTACCCTAACATATATCAATAAAAAGTCAATTTATAAAACCCACCTAGAGCCACACGCCTCTAATGATAGCCTTTACATTATTCAATATTTAAAATAATAAAAAATCTTTAACAGTTATCGTCTAATGAATATAAAAAAATTATACTTTAATCAAAAAATTCATATATTCCAAGATGCATGCATATTCCAATGAAAATAAATTCCTTTTTGTTTAAAAACAAAATTTTCTATAAAAAAATATTTCTTAATTTTTTGTGTATATAGAAGACAATGTGTGTTAAAGAATTTATATCTGAGAAAAACTTCGAAATTAATATTTAAAAAAAATGTGTGTGTGTGTGTGTGTGTG